GTTAAGCGACTGCCTTCGGCTCAGGTCATGATCCTGGAGTCCCGGGATCGAGTCCCGCATCGGGCTCCCTGCTTGGCAGGGAGTCTGCTTCTCCCTCTGACCCTTCTCCCTCTCATGCTCTCTGTCTCTCATTCTCTCTCTCTCAAATAAATAAATAAAATCTTTTAAAAAAAAAGAAAAAATCAGGAATGATGGTATTAAGAATATACAAGAAACTGGAACACCTGGGTGGCTCAGTCTGTTAAGTGTCAAACTCTTGATCTCTGCTCAGGTCTCAGGGTCATGAGTTCAAGCCCCACACTGGAGCCCAGCTCCAAGCCCAGTTTTTTTGCCAAGTAAAAATACTGGTCATTTTGCCAGAAGAGAAACATCACTCCAAGCCTCTCAGCACAATAGCCTCCCCTCTCCTCTCCTCCCTGTCACAGCAGCTGAGACCTGGGGCCTCACCACTCCTCAGAAGCAATCCCTTTTAGCGACGAGGCCCCCTTTACTGTCGTTTAAAGGCCTCTTTCTTAAAGGCCCCCACCTTTTCTGAGGCTTTTGCAGCACCTGAACTGCTGAGCACCATCCTCCTGGGGATGCTGTCTGCCCTGTGCTCTCCTCCCACCTCCCTGTTCATGCCCTCCTTCTCAGCCTCTTCTACCGGCGCCCCTGGGAGCATCTTCGCCACTGCCTAAGTGTTGCTGCCCCCCAGGGCTCCTTCACTGGCTCTCCTCCCTCTGCACACCCTTCCTGGGCAATGCCACCCATCCCACTGTGTCATTGACACCCATATGCTACACACTCAGATCTCCTTCCTGATACAAGCCCCAAATCTACAATACACAAAGGAAACTCTCTCATCTCCAGAGCTACTCTTCCTCCTCCATTTCTGACTATGGTGGAATAGCATTATCACACATACACCTTGATCTCCAACCTACAGACCTAGATATAGCTAGGCCCTGACAGCCACCAGTGATGGGGCCCTGACACTGACCTGTGAAGTGTTTCCTGAATCAATTCCCACCTCTATTCATGGTCTTTGCCTCTATTCACCATTCTTTGTCATGATTATTGCCTCCCAACTCATTTCTTGACTCCAATCTGCCCCTCCTTTCAATCTATCACTATTTCTTTCTAACCTAAAAATCTAATCACATCTTATCATGCCTTCATAAATCTCAACGCCTCACCAATGCCCATAGAACAAAGTCAAATCTACTGTAACATGGAAGGCCTCTGCACAGCCTGGCCTCCCCAACCTCTCCAATATCCTGCTTCTCCCTCTCAGGCACTGTCCGCCACAGCCACACCCGACACTCGTGGACACGGACACAGACACAGTGTCGCTCACTCATTCAGGGAATACTCATGGCTAATCCCCCAGGGTGCACGTCACATGTATCGCTTCATACTTTTAATCTGCAACTACCCTATGGTGGAGAAGGGCACTATTTATTTTCCCTAATTTAAAGATGAAGATACTGAAGCAGAGAAAGGTCAAGTAACTTGTTCAAAGTCATACTCTGGTGGAACCAGGATTCAGACCCAGATAACACAGTCTGGTTTCCAGGTCTGTGTTTACAGCCACAACACTTGACCATCATCCATGTCAAGCCAAGCACTGTGCCGGGCACTTGAGCCTTCCAAGAGCTAGCAATCAAGTAGCAAAGAGACAGGAGGAAGGAAGCACTCACAATTCAATGTGAAAAGGGTAACTGCAGAGGCTTACAAATCGTGCCAGGCAAGCCCCTCATGAGAGAGGCACGTACCCGGTATTGAGTAGAGGTGGGTCACGGTAATCAGAGGGAACACTTGCACTGAAGCCTAAAGAAGCTGGAGTCACCCAGAGGAAAGAGAAGCAGGGTGCAGGAGTAAGACCGTTTCAAGCAGGGAGGACAGCGCAGGTAAAGGGCGGGAGCAAGAAAGAGAAGCATGGGTTCCGGCCCGGCCGACAGCTTGGTGTTGCCGCAGTACAGAAAGTACAAGAAGCTCGCTGACCTGCTGCTGGCGGGCGCCGACGCCCTCGGGGTAGAGGTGTCTGTGGGAGTGGAGATAGCCGATGGCCATCCGCAGGTTCTTCACGGTGATCACGGAGCCATAGGCCAGATCTGGGAGGAAGGAACGGTGGAGGGTGTGAGTTGGCCCGTGACTAGCAGGGGCCTCTAAAGCCACAGGACTCACTAAGCCTCTAACAGATGGCACTGGGCCCAGCACCGCCTAAAGCGAGACGCACAGGTACCTTCTCACTCCCACGGCGTCAGCTCAAGTGGGAGTTCACTACAGGGTCTCACTGGTGCCCTCACCTCCCTTCCCTCCTCAGGACTTCAGAAGAAGCACTGGTATTAACAGTGGCATTATCAAAGCACTATTTGTAATAGCAAAAGATTAGAAACTGCCCATCCTTCAAAGTCTATACATACATTAAACACAATAAAGAAAGAAAGAAGCATTTCATGTCTTAGCTAGAATATTCTTTTTTTTTTTTTGCATATAAAGTGCTTTAATTGGAACAGAACACTGCATCTTTGCAACAAATTTGTAAGGCAGAAACCAGATTACAGGTGAGGATACTGAGGCCCAGAGGTTCCTTAGAGTCTTGTCAGTGATGGCCGCTGCTAAGTGGCAGTTGATCTCAGCTCCAGAGACCAACCTGCTAAGCCCTGGCCTCTGTGGGCTGTCATCGGCTTCCGGGCCAGCCTCTGCTTCTGCAAGTCAGAGCTTTCTTCACCTTAGAATATTCTTCAAGATAGATATAATGTTATGATAGACTGTTAAGATAATTTACATTTTTGTGAAATCCTTTTGAGCCTTTTGAATCTAATACTATATAAAGTAGTTGTTCAGTGGTGGTTGGGTTTGTTTAATTCTGAATTTAAAAAAAAAAGAGTAAACCGTTTACCCAAGAACATCCCTTCTGCCTGCAGGCCCTGGGTAACTGAGAAGCCTCTTTCTTCCTTACTGTCCTTCTTCTCAGTCCCCTGTAATCTGGCTGCCCTGCCATTCTCGAGTCCACTGAAACCTGTCTCGCTCCATCATAGATAGGCTACTCCGGTCTTCCTTTGTTTGTTCATTTGGTCAACAGATCGTACCAATTACACAGTGGATCCAAAGCTGGAGGGGGCCTGGCTGTGGCCCTGGGAGAGCCCAGTCTTAGGGAAGATGGCTGCACACACCGATGAGCACAGGACAGTGGGCAAATGCGCCAGCAAAGGTGTGACAATGTGTGACATGGTGGGAGCCCAGTGCAGAGTAGGATGAATTCTCATGCAAAGAGTAAGAAGAGGCTGGCTTGACGGAAGAGATCACAGTGAGCTAGGCCTTTTAAATAACAAGTAGGCATTTGCAAAACCCCACAGCTCCTCTTCTACGTTCTCACGCAGGCCAACATATGCAGCCCCTCACACTGCTGACCACCTTTGCTTCTGGAAATGCTTTGTTCCCCCTTCTCAACCCACACTCCCTCATGGACTGTCCTCTGCAGCCTCCTTCCCTAACCCCCTCCCTCCTGCACTCCCAAGTGACCTGACTTCAGCCAGCCCAGTTCTCATTCTCTCTCTCCAGGTTCCTTACAGGTCACAGCCACCGCCACGGTACCGCTTCCCCCTTTAGCTGGCTGACTGATTCGTCCTCTGAAAACATCAGCTGCCCCGTTGCATGGATTTCCCCAAGCATCTCAAAGTCAACCTCTCTACAGTGGAACCAGTATCTGCCTTTCTAAACCAACTTTTTAACCTGCTTTCCTATTTCTCATTCTATGCACAGTCTTGGCGGGCCCCCTGTGTCCTACACACTGTGCAAGGCACTGGAGAGACTAGAAGGCATCATTGTGCCTCCCAGAAACAATTACCTGGGCTCAAGTCCTCAGTGACATCTTTCCTCTTCTCTTTCCATGTCTAATCTCGCTTGTCCCTGCCCATCTGCACCACCCCTGTGGCTGCTACCATGATGCCCAGCTCAAGTACCCGGAAGAGCTTTCCAGAGGGGAGCCCCTGCCTCCAGTCCCACCCCCTCCCTAGCCGTCCTGCACTTTGCCATCAGTGTCGCCTCCCTACGGCCCCAGCCTTCCTGTCCTCCTTCCTGCTCAGAGGCCTCCGCTGGGTCTCCACTGCCTGTTTAATGAAGTCAAACACCTCACCCAAACATTTCAAACCCTCATAATCCGGGCCCAACCTATCCTTTCAGCCTTATCTTCTAGTACTTTTCTGGGGATAATCTGTACCTTACGTTGTGCCCTGTTCTTGGCCTTGATCTTGCTGTCCCCTCTGCCCTATATGCCCTCTCCTCCCTCTCCATCTGTTCGAATCTACCCATTCTTCCAGGGCTGGACTCCACAGCATCTCACTCTGTGTACCTCTGATGCCCTCCAACTCCCTAGCAGAAGTGATCTCCTGCACCCTTTGATCCCAGAGCTCTGTGTTTCCTCTTTATACACTTAACACACACGGTCACCAGATCCTCTACTCTGGAAGGGATCCACTTACAGTCTTCAATATGGCTAACATGCGCTCCATTATGATCTGTGAATAAGGACGGGATGTGAGTCACAGAATACGATGGTGGAAACTGACCATTAGCACCAGAGGGCCTTGTCCTTTCACCAGATTTCCTCTGGTTGCCTTCCCATGGAGCTGACTTAGATGCTTCCGCAGCACAAGGGAGAAGTTATTCTTTACAGTCAAAGAGACTGCTGCTCAGGGCTGCACGTCCTGTGTCCCAAGTCACTCTTTTGAGGGCTCATACCAGGTCTAACTGGATGTTTCTCCCAGTTTGCCATCTACAGGCTATCATACTTGTCTTTTCCAATTCACCCACCCAGAAAGGCTTCTGCCCTTCTACCTTCATAAAGGCCAGGAGATACTCACGTTCGGGGATGGAAGCATTGTGAAGGTTGTTGCCTGAAAGCCGGGCCTGGAAGGCAGAACTGAAGAAGCCATCGCCAGGACCACTGTGGGGAAAGGAGCAGAAGACAGACAAGGTACTGGAGAGAAATTCTAATTTCCTGGGAACCCTAGGAAGAGCCTTGTGCAACTAGTTTAAAAGAAGACAACCAGAGGGGCAGTGTGGTATCATGGGACAAACACAGGTGATGGAGTTGGAGAAACAGGGGTCCAAATCTCAACTCAGCCACTTACTAGCTAGGTGGTGACCTTCAGAAGTACCTAACTTTGCTTAGCCTCAGTTCTCATTTATAAATTGGGGATTTAAAAAAAATCAAAAGAACTCAAAAACAATCATGATGAAAGTGAGATAATATGTACAAAATGCTGACACTTGGTCGCTACTCGTTAAATGTGAGCCTCGGCTAGTGTTGCTGCGATTGTCACCCTCCTCCAACTGCACACCTTATTCTGCCCATCCCTGTGAAGCACAGGGACTCTGCTTAGGGATAAGGGGCAGTTTGGCTATTAGGAAGTTCTCCTCTTCCTTCAGGCCAGGGTGCTGGCTTTTCTGAGCCCTTTGGATATCCAAAAGACAGAACACAGGAGGAAACGAACAGATAAAACCCACCAGGTCCCTCGAACATCCCAACCACAGACCCAGGAAATCACACACCCCACCTACAGGCTGAGAGGCAAGAGGAAGACGGGAAGCAAGAGGCTGGAAAGGCTCTGCTGTACCTTTTGTTCAGCACCATGAAGTGAACAGCATAAGTGGCCATGTAGAGAGTCAGCGGCAACACTATGAGGCACAGGATGCGAGCGGTCAGGTGTTTCCCCACAGTCACCTGCAAACAGAGCCAGTTCGGGGTGCTGGGCATATGGGGCTTTATTCTACCTTATACCTTCTATGCGCGTTACATGTAACTTTTTATGCATAAGTCAAAATCACAAAAAATTGAAAAACTAAGAGCCAACAAGAAAAAATACATGGAAACCCTAGCCTTTCCATGACACCCCACCACCCCAGCGCTGCAGGGTGGTGAACATGGGCCAGCCCTCTGCTGCCTGTGCAGGCCCTCACCCAGGATCCCAGACCATCCCTGCATCTTCAGCCTCATCACTCATCAGTCCCTTCTATATTCCAGTCACACTGAGCTCCGCGCATGGTCCCCACGTTTCCTGTACTGTGCCAGCCCCATCCGTCACACGCATAAGTGTTCCTGATCTGCATCTCAGGCCTCGGCTCCCCCCCCCCCGAAACCTTCCTGGACCACTTGACCTGGGCTCGTGCCCTCCACTGTGCCCTCACAGCACTTTTTGGCTGGACTGTAATCACCTGTTTACTTATTTCTCTCTCTCCATTGTCTCTGGAGGGCAGGAATCCTTGTTTTTTTCATCTGCATATTCCATGTTTCAGACTGAAAGGGTAGTCTGTCTATATTTTCTGAGCGAATAAATGAACTTATCGAGACTTTGGTTCAGAGGTGATGGTGAAGCCTTGTGGCAAAGTAGTTCAGGTCTGGAGTCAGCCTCCTCTAAGTCTGAATCCTACATCTACCTTTTACTTGTATGGTCTGGGACACATTATTACCTCTCTGGGTCTGGACTTCCTCATTTGTAAAGAGAAGGTAATTAACTACCTACCTCACAGGACTGTTAGGAGAGGTAAATGAGCCAGTGAAGGTGAAGCACTTCGCACAGTGCCTAGCACAGAATCAGCTCTTAGTAAATAACACTTTAATAAACTCTAAAGGCCTTTCCTGGCCTCCAAATCTGGAGACCCTGGGTCAGAGAAAGAAAATGGTGAGTTCAGAAAGTCACCCTACCCATTTTACTGAAGATCCCATGCAGCTAGTGTCGGCCATATATTTGGCATTGAGCCCAGCTGGACAGACTACGTGACTGGGTAGTTTGTAGAGCATTTAAAAAACATCGCAGAAACAAATGCCAAAAGAAAATGCCAAGGATGTTAGTTCATCCTCTCCCTTTAAACCTCTCTAGCCTCCAAGCATGGCCTCCTTCCTGTTGTCATGCTGCCTACAGACAGGGGCCGGAGCCAGCCCACCTCAGGCCAGAATACAGCACGCCACCACCTGCAGCAGAGGCGGAGAAAGGCCACTGGCTCTGCTGAGCAATACCAAGGAGCAAAGACATTTCTACAAGCACTTGGGTTCTCACCACTGAAAGACTGAGGTCTCCAAACAGGTGCCAAAGGTCTGAAATGGTGTTCCACCCCACTTGCAGGATGATAAAGAGGCCAACAAACTTGACCCCTAAAGCACCAGCCAGATTAATGCCAGTCAGGCTGAGCCAGAACCACCAGGGGGCAGAGAAGGGCCTGAAAACCAACAAGACACAGAGTTCAGTTTGGCAGCTGGAACCAAACTCAAAAACGAGAGCAGCAGTGGGGAAGGGCAGAGGTTCTGTGACCCTGAGAGGCCATGGCCTGCCCTCTTTCTTGAGGGCTCCTAACCTCAGGAGACCATGACGTGGCTCCAAGGAGCATGTGGTTATGGAACTCTCAAAACCGCAGGAAGCAGTGTGAGAGTGAGTAGGATATTTTTCTGGGAGAGGGGCCATAGCTTTCCTGGCTAAGTACAGGGCTCAAATTAAGCAAGAGGCTTACTGTTCAGGTGGAAGGAAAAGGCAAATCCAGAGCAGCCTACCGGATTAAGTCAGCCCTCTCTCTCCTGGGGGTCGCCTGTGGCCCTTGGGAAGCCGGCAATTATTGAGTGCTTACTATGTGTCAGGCGCTGTTCCGAGCACTTGATTTGTATAAACGCTTTAACCTTCACTACAACTCCACAGAGGTAGGTCCTATTATTATCCCCTTCTCCCACAGGAGGAAATCGAGGTACAGAGAGGGCAAGCAGTACAGCTAGCATGCGGGAGAGCATAGTCCTAACCCTGGCAGTCGGTTCCGAGGTTTGCTCCCCTTACAGCACCCAGTGCTCAGTGCTGCAATTTCCCCATTAGCTGGCTGCCTCCTCTGGAGGAGTGAAGGCCCCTGAACTGCGAGACTTACGTACCTCCATGCCTCCGGCTCCTAGCACAGGACCTGGCACATAGTATGTATTCAAGAAATGGCAGGTGGAGGTGGGCGTGGTAGGGGGAGATGACCACCCAAAGCCAGGGAGAGATGGTAGTCACTGGATCCGGCTTTATTGGCATAATGTAATTTAATGAGCCTGGCCATGGTGAAACCAAGCTGACTCCTAGAAAAGCCTAGGCAGAGCCAGCTCTTTTGGTTTGAATAGAATGAATAACCTACTCTACTCTCTCAGAGGCAAAAGGAGGATCTGCAAAAGACCATTCTGGAAGAAGACCAGGCCCTCCAGAACAGCTTTAGAACTGACCCGGGCCTGCAGAGATCCTCTTGACTGGCATGGACTGCTTAAGCCAACCTTTTATATAAATTATTCCCGTCAATAGGTCAGGAGTGGATGCAACCACTGACGGCAGGGAGACAAATAGCTCCCAGGCAGTTTCTGTCCTGGTTCCCTCCCCTCTAGGACAGAGAATGTGAAGGATAAAGTTATCCTGGGATCCCTAACCAGCGCTGGTGCCAAGGGGTAGCTTAGAAGATGGTGGGCTGGGAAGGCATTAGGACTCTTCCATAATATCCACAAACCCCTACCCAAATCCACCCATTAGAACATTCTTTAAAAAGATCATTGATATTTTTTTAGTCTTACGCAAAACAAAAAAAAGTATGTCTAGAAAACATATTAAAATCTATTTTTATGATCTAAAATGGACAATCTAAGTTTAAAAAAAAAGTATGCTTGCCTTAAGTGCAGCTTCAAGACAAGTCCTATAGGCACCCACCCTGTCCCTGGCTACAGAAATTCCAGAGTTGCCATAGCTTCTGACCCCCAACGCCCAGCCCACAGAGATGGTGTTTCTGACCTGTCAGCACAGGAGTTGTACTTGACCATGCTCAGCATGGCAGCCATGATGAAGAACATCAAGATGGGGTCAAGGAGGATATACTGGGACAGAGTAAGGCATCCTGTATCTGAAAAACATGAGCTCAGCAGTCAAAAAGGGAATCAGAGATGGGCCCCCTGAGAACCAAACACCCCAACAATAAGAAATAGTGCCCCTTATACTTAATTGCATGTAAGCATTTATACAGTCAAGACCAGATGAGCCACTGAGTCATCAGGGAGGTGGAAGGCCATAGCTTTGGGGTACATCAAAGCCCAGGGATAGGAAACTATATCTCACACTCCTTTCAGGCCAGTGACCCAAGGAACGACCATATCATTCAATCAGATAGAGCAGTCCTGAGACGAGGGCTCTTCCTCATTTCCACCACCAAAATGGGAGTTCTGCCACCTGCTTATATAGCCACAGACTACCCATACCTAGGATAGAGTCTTAGCATTTTACGTGAAGTCTCCGTTGGAAGCAGATTCTCCGCAAAGGCACCCAAGTGATTGTTCTTCAAACAAAATTTCATTACATCAAGCCACTGCTTGAAGCTTCCAATGCCTTGCCATCTCACTCAGACTAACCAAGTCCTCATGACGACTGCCAAAGCCGGCATGGTGTCCCTCCCCAAACAACCTCCTCCACCAACACCCTCTGCCTCACTCACTCCACTCTGGCGACACTTGGCCTCCTTGCTGTTCCCTGAATCCACCAAATGCTGCCTTGCACCAGGACCACTGCAGATGCTGTTCCCTCTGCCTGAACATGCTTCACTCAGATCTCTGCATGGCTTAATCTTCTGCTTCACTCAGGCCACCCTACCCACAAGAGAATCCCTCCCCGTTACTCTCTCCCTTACCCTACTCTATTTTCTACATTGCACTATGGCTTATGTTGTTACATTTCAGACTTACAATCTACTTGCTTATTTATCATCCGCCGTACTAGCAGATAAGCTCCATGACAGCACAGTGTCTCATCAGCATATCCTCTGAGGCCCAGAAAAGTGGCCTGGCACAGAGGAGATGCTTGAAAAACAGTTGTGGAATAAAAAAAAGAATAAATGAAGAGGATTAATAACTGAAAAGGGAAATTAAAGACACAAGGAAAAAGCCACCAATCGTCTACAGAGAGGCCCTATAATCTTGCAACATATTTGTCAAAACAAAGCCAGAATTACACCTGAAATACCCACCTAACTTGGCCTGGACTTCTTTAAATGTTAAGTTCTATGAGGTCATGAATTCACTTTAATAAAAATCAGAATAGCACAGAATCAAATTCTACAGATCAACTCTCATTTATCCAGCAGGGAATTACCCACAGAAAATAAAGTTCCCATTTTGCTATTTCCTGCCACCCAGCTACTTCTGAGACATCTGCCCTTCCATTCAGCTGAAATCAGTTTAAGGAGTGCAAACTTATAGTAACCTGAGAGACCTTGATAGTAGCCTGAGAGAAGCAGAATTAGAATCATAAGCCTCCTGGGGCGCCTGGGTGGCTCAGTTGGTTAAGCGACTGCCTTCGGCTCAGGTCATGATCCTGGAGTCCCGGGATCGAGTCCCGCATCGGGCTCCCTGCTCGGCAGGGAGCCTGCTTCTCCCTCTGACCCTCCCCCCTCTCATGTGCTCTCTCTCTCTCATTCTCTCTGTCTCAAATAAATAAAATCTTTAAAAAAAAAAAAAAAAAAAAGAATCATAAGCCTCCTTCAAATATACACATGCACACACACAAATTTATCTTCTTATTCACACCAAACTCAAATGTGGATAACCTGGAGATAATCTATTCTTTGGGATTATATACGTGAGCACTACCCTCTAATAATATAAAGGTTTGCTACACACAACTATTTTTATATGTAATATCACTGGTGAAGAAAATAAGATTTGTAATACATTTACCCAATCCTAAAGTTACTTAACCACTGGGCCCATGGATAGGATCCTTAAATGTATTGATTTCCAAATACACTCATAATGTGGCAATTTCCTAAGAAACATGGGTATAAGACAACTTACCAAAAGTGAGGAGGGCAGCGGTGAGCAGTGCTGCGGGGAGGGACTTGGACAGCTCCAATACAGTGAGGTAGGCAAAGGGAACCAGCAAGGAACCGAGGAAAGCACAGAACTATGGAAGGAAAAGAGAAGCAGTCAAACAGCCAGCTAAGCTAAGCATCAGAGACCTACTTGACTTGGCACAAACTAATGTTTAAAATGGAGGACCCTTGGTGCAGGCATGACTTGGTGACCTGAAATCACCTAGAATATCTATAAACAAGAAAGGGATGGTGTGACAGTGAATCATCAAATCAAGCAACATATATGTGCCCATTGAGCATCACCTCGAACACTGACACGAAATCAGCAAAATTCAGTCAAGGAGGTGTGTGCAGGATGGCAGATGGTTTCAAGTAGGGGACTCTGAGGTTGGACTGCCCCATCAACTGCTAGCTGTGACTAAAACAGTACATCTCTGAATCTCAGCCTCCCCGTCTGTGTCATATGAAAAATTAGAGTTCCTGCCTCAGAGAGTTTTCTCTGGAGATTAAATGGGCTAGTTTTATTAGCACACACAAAGTACTCAATAAACATTAGCTTCTACTACAAAACTGTGGGTACAAGTAGAGAAAGACCTCTCTATGGTGTTTTAATATTCTAGAGAATTCTATTATTATTTCTGTTATTTCTCCCTTGGCTCTTTCCTTCAATCACAACAGAAATCACTCTTTAATCTACAGGTTGCATTTTAATTCTGGGAAAAAAAAATTATCTGACTCTTCAGTATCTGGAGAGTTGTTTTTTGTTTTGTTTTGTTTGGAACCACCAGCTCTCTCTCTACCTCCCTACCCTGTCCATCACAAGTAAATAGACAAGCCCAGGGAAATGGAAATTCTCACATTTGCGTTGTCACTTTTTGTCAATTGAAAGCAATGTGTCCTCGATGGACTCTGAGAAACAAACTGAGGGTTCTAGAGGGGAGGGGGGTGGATGGGTTAGCCTGGTGATGGGTATTAAAGAGGGCATGTTCTGCATGGAGCACTGGGTGTTATACACAAACAATGAATCATGGAACACTACATCAAAAACTAATGATGTAATGTATGGTGATTAACATAACATAATAATAATAAAAAAAAAAGAAAGCAATGTATCCTAGTGTGAAAGAGAACACGGCTGTTATATTTGGCCTTGTCGATTTCCACAGCAAGCCCACAGTGAGTCAGGCCTCTATCCAATTACATATGCTATGTGTTGTTCAAAAGTCATTAGGAAGACACAGAACCACTTTAGAATATGAACCCGAGGGTTGGGGTAATCCTTATTTAATACAGTATAATATGACCATGCAAATTACCCAATGATTAGCTCAAATAAGCACACAGCATTTATCTAAAGTGCTTTGAGCCCCTTAAGGAAAGGAGCTTATAAATAAATGCAACCTGCTCTGAGAGCTCCATGTCCAAAGTCAGATTTTGCAGGTTTCATTTAGCTACAGATAAGAGGTCCCCACAGAGTTGGGTACTTAGGCCTGGCGATGCTCTATCAAGGCTCGGGCTGCAACTCGGGGCAAACATATATAGCCTCCTCTACAAGACTGGAAAACCCCTTTTGGGTGCCTGAAACCTTCATGGGGAAAGAAGCAGGGACCTGGTGTCAGGAGTATGGGATGCTGAGATCTTAAGGGCCCTCAGAGGTAGGCAATCCTCCAGCAGTTGTGGCCATGGAGAGGAATGACGTGTGGCCTGCCAATGTGCTGAGGCCAACGTCAGGGGGATGCAGGAGCCTCCTGGCTGCCCAGGTCCTAGGTTGCTCTCCAACCTGAAGTCTGAAGCCTCACATGGGCTGGGCAATAGGTGACAGTGTGTGCTTGCTCCTACCCATGAGATCTCTGTATTATCTGTGGCCTCCCCTCCCCTTCTTACCTACCGCAGTTCTGAATCTCTACACCTAAATCTCTACTACAGGATGTGGGTCCAATCATCCTCCCCTCCCACTGCCACCCAAAGTCCCTTTGTCTACACCTGCCACCACTCCAGGGCTTCCAATTATAACTTCTGACTGAGTGTGGCCCCAGGGTTCAGTCTAGAGTAAGTGAGGAAGCCTTACTCCTCTCATTCCCATGTAGTTGTGATGTTCATATTTGTCCCCAGGCTTCTGGAACAAAAAAGTCCCGTCATACCCACTCAGGTAGCCAGCAAGACCTATCAGCATCTGAGGAGAGAAGGAGAACAAACAAAAAGATGATGAGAGACCTTTAAGATTCCTCTGTCCCCTAAACTTCCTTCCAGCTACACCCAGACTTTGGCTTCCCTTGATAACTGTCCATAGGAGTTGCCAATGTGACATTTTCTCCTGCAGCTGTTGCAGAGCAAAGAATCTTTTGTCTACAGAGCTCTTTGCTTGCAACAAATCCTCTCTTGTGTTAACGCCAAGTTCTTGGGAATAGTGCAGATTGAATACTTAGGAAGAAAATATCCCACAATTTGAAGGGCTCTCTCATTCAACCTTCTTTCATTTGCTATGAAATAAAACATGACAGCCCATGGGGGAGGCCATGGGCAGGGGCTGATTCCTGGGAGACCAACCCTCTGAAAGGAAGATGAGGTTCCAAGTCAGAATGAGGAGGGGGAAAAATGGCCAAGGAGTTCCACACCAGCAATAGGCAGAAGGGAAGAAGTGGGGGGGGGGGGGGAGGATGCTAAGACAGACACATTTCCCCAGAGGAGAAAAGTCCCAGGGGAAAATACACCAAAAGGCCAGAGACCAGTTTCTCCTATTTCCAATATTTCAAAGGAGGGCAGCCTTGGCACATTCCAAACCAGAACAAATCAACTATTACACTAAGACTGAGATTTGTGAATCCTTCAAAACGTTCAAGATCAGCTTCTTCATTTCTATCTTTTCATCTTTCAACAGTGTAAAAGTCTCTTTTCCACACAAGCAATCAGAAGCTGCTAAGCCATAAAACTGTCAGCAAATACCAAGCATTTTTAACAGCCCCAGGCTGCCCTGCCCAGACTCCTGTGCTCCAGTTAAGCTGTGTGGAGGGACAGAATATACTGGCTGTATTAAGAAAGCCCCTCCCTGCAACACTGCTTGTGGGGCTTGGGTTTGGACCACGAACCAGCTCACTTTTTACTATAAGTAGCTCTAACCAAAGTCACTCTCTATAGTTCCACGTCAAGGAACAGAGGCCAAAATTCAACAGTAAATGATTATAAAGCCTTGTTAAAAAAAAAAAAAAAATCCTAGGGATCAGAAGTTAATGTAACTAATTTAACATAAAGTAAGAGAAGGTATTGAAAAGACAGAGCCATCCAAATACCTAGATTAATAAAAACTGACAGGTGACAAACAAATGTATGCCCCTTCCCACCTGGGATCTCAGAGAACAAATTTGCCTGGTGCTGGTATAAATTCCCAGACTGCTTGGCTGGTCCGGTAGAGTGAAAAAATGCACTGATGGTTTGCATCTCAGCTCTCTGATTGCCGGCAATACTTATTAATGTCTGAGCTACAAGTAATAAAATCTCCCTTGCGGTGGCGGGGGAGGGCTGTGAGGATCAGAGACAGTAGAACAATAGGTTAAACACCTGGCACTATGCCAAGCCCTTACCAGGCACTTGAAATTCAGTTCCCTCTCCGTTCTCTTAAGATTAAAAGTAGCCCTGAGCCCTAATTTTCTAACTAATTGATCAAATCAATAAGAAAAGGAACTTACTAGAATAATGGGCAAATTCACATAAAACAAAATAATGACTAATAAACATATGAAAAAATGTTCAATCCAACTCATAAAGACATGCAAATGAAAACAGTGACACATCATTTTTATTCTCAAATTGGCAAAGTTTTGAAAAGTATTATCACACCAGTGCTGCCAATGGTGTGGGGGAAGCAAGAACCCTCATACACTGTCGGTGGGAATATATATTATTACAATATTTTTGCAGAAAAACATAGCAATATCTACCACAAATTTAAATGTGTGTATCCTTAGATTCTTTAGTTTGGCTGCTAAGAACCTTTCAGATACACCTGCACAACTATGAAAAGATAAATGTGCAAGGATGTTCATTGCAAAATCTTTTGTAATGGCTGAAAATTGGAATTAACATAAATGTCCACCAATTAAAGATGGGTAAAATAATTTATGGCACATCTGTATAATGGAATAATATATAGCCATTAAAATGCATGGAGCACAACAGTCATAAAAAAGGCTGAGATCATGCCATCTGAGACAGCATGGATGGACCTAGAGGGTATTATGCTAAGCTAGACTGAGAAGGCAAACACCGTATGATTCCACTCATAAATGGAATCTTTAAAAAAATGAATAAGCAAACAAAAACAGAATCAGAACGATAAATATTGAGTACAAACTGTAGTCACTAGAGGGAAAGGGGTGGGGGATGGGCAGCATGGGTGAAGGGGAGTAGGAGATACAGGCTTCCATTTATGGAATGAGTAAGTCACGGAAATAGAAAGCACAGCATAAGGACTGCAGTCAGTGACGTCGGAGCAGCGATGGAACAGGACAGATGGCAGCTACACTTGCGGCGAGCACAGCATAACATAGAAACTTGCCAAATCACCATGGTGTACACCTGAAACTAATGTAACATCGTGTGTCAACAATACGCAAATTAAAAAAGTAATAAATAAAATAAATTTTTTAAAAATGGAGTACATTTTGGGGCGCCTGGGTGGCTCAGTTGGTTAAGCGACTGCCTTCGGCTCAGGTCATGATCCTGGAGTACCTGGATCGAGTCCCGCATCGGGCTCCCTGCTCGGCAGGGAGTCTGCTTCTCCCTCTGACCCTCCCCCTCTCATGTGCTCTCTCTCTCTCTCTCATTCTCTCTCTTTCAAATAAATAAATAAAATCTTTAAAAAAAAATGGAGTACATTTTTATGTGCTAATGTGGAAAGAAGTTAAGATATATCATGTTTAAAATATAAGCTGCTGAACAATTTTAGTCTGGTCCTATTTGTATATATAAGTTGTTCATGTGCACGTCTGTAAATATACTCACATATCTGTATAAAGAATTTCTTTTTTTTTTAAGATTTTATTTATTTATTTGTCAGAGAGAGAGAGAGCACAGAGAAAGAGAAAGAGAGAGAGAGAGAAAGAGAGAGAGCACGAGCGGGGGGAGGGGCAGAGGAAGAAGCAGGCTCTGTGCTGAGCAAAGAGCCCCATGTGGGACTCGATCCCAGGACCCTGGGATCACGACCTGAGCCAAAGGCAGATGCTTAACCGACTAGCCACCCAGGCGCCCTGTAGAGAGAATTTTTTTTTTTTAGATTTAATTTATTCATTTGACAGAGAGAGAGATAGAGAGCAAGCACGAGTACAAGCAGGCAGAGTGGCAGGCAGATGGAGAAGCAGGCTCCCCGCTGAGCAGGGAGCCCGACACGGGCTCGATCCCAGGACCCTGGGATCATGACCTGAGCCAAAGGCAGACACTTAACCGACTGAGCTACCCAGGCACCCTGTATAAAGAATTTCTCTTCCTTTCCAACCAGGGCCCAGCAGAATGGCTCACACGAAGAAGGGTGGCGAGAAGAAGAAGGGCTGTTCTGCCATCAACAAGGTAGTGACCAGAGAATACATCATCAACATTCACAAGCGCATCCATGGAGTGGGTTTCAAGAAGCGTGCCCCTCGGGCACTCAGAGAGATCTGGAAATTTGCCATGAAGGAGATGGGAATTCCAGATGTGCGCATTGACACCAGGCTCAATAAAGCTGTCTGGGCCAAAGGAATAAGGAATATTCCATACCATATCCGTGTGCGGTTGTCCAGAAAACGTAACGAGGATGAAGATTCACCAAACAAGCTCTACACACTGGTTACCTATGTACCTGTCACCACTTTCAAAAATCTACAGACAGTTAATGTGGATGAGAACTAATCGCTGATTGTCAAATAAAGGTATAAAACTGAAAAAAAAAAGAATTTCTAAGAAAACATATATAAGAAACTAATAGAAATGTGGGGAGAGGTAGCTCTTGACCTTTGACTTCCTTCTGTGCTGATCAAAGGAAGCGGGGGGAGGGGCAGAGGAAGGTCATGCCATCTGAGTATTATGCTTGTTTCACTCTGCGCAGGCATTCTATTTCCTCCAGGATTGGGGGCCAGCGTGGAATGACAGCTAGAAGCCTCAGTACTGCAGGAGAAAACTCCCATTCACAACTTCAAGGGGCTTTCTGATTCTTTGACTGGCTTGGCCTTAGAACCTATGAAAGCTACTGTGTTCATCACTCTCTTTCAATCAAGTAAAGCACAGGACCATCAGGAGATAAATTAGGGGGGCAGACGGACCAAATTCCCCAGGGGCAGCCTTAGAAAGAAGGCTCACATTTTTCCCTGCCCACAGGGACCAGATATGAGCCAGGGAAGGCTTAAGTAAAAACACATCAGCCAGTGTTCCACATGCATGTCTTCACTGTGCTGAGCACTAGGGGACTCCAAACATAGACAGGCAGTCCCCAGCTGAAAGACTGGGCTGGTTTTCCTAGGAAAAAAAAAAATCTCCTCCACCAGGGGTCCTGGTTCCCGGGCTAGCTTAGTGCAAACATTCAACACATTCTATTGCTTATTCCTACGGTGGTTAACAGATATCATCCAAGTCGGGGGGCAAGGCAAGTATCATGAGGCAGTGTGATATAAGGGTTAAGAGAGTAGACGTTAAACCAGCCTGCACCTTGACTCTGCCATTTACTAGCTTTCTTCCCTATGGCAAACTTCTTTTCCTCTCTGTGCCCCAGTTTCCCCACTGGCAAAATGGGGATACAACAGTACCTACTTCACAGGTTATTCTGAGGATTACATAAGATAATATACCAAAAGTGACAAGAACAGACTAAGTTTTCAATTGCTCTGATTTTTATTGCTGTTATCTTATAAAGGAGACCAGAGAGGCATAATATTTTCTACTCCAGCTCTGGGCTCAGAGCTAATTTTGAAATAGGTCACTATCCCACCTCCCTCTGCACCCCTCTCTGGTCCCTATCTAATGCTCTCGTGCCCCCAAGCCCACCTGTCACAGACCACCACCCCTGTCTCCCATCACCTCTGCCTTCATCCCCAACTACTCCATGCTCCAGGATCACACCTCCACTTCCTAACGGACCAATTCTTGTCCCTTTGGTGCCAAAGATCTCAGCCTCCATTAGGAAGAAAGGGCTGATCCATTAGCCTTCTCAGAGGTCGTTGTTTTCAGAGGAGTAAAATGAATTCTCACTGTGGGATTTCTAATTGTAAAACATGTGAGAGGTACAGGTCAAAGAATGTACCTGCTGGGAGTGGGAAGGGGGAAAAGGAGTTTTGCTCCCCTATAGACAATCAGCTCCTCTCAGCAATCTCTGCTTTGTGCAACATATTCCTTCTCTCCACTGTTTACTTTTTTGAATTGAGATAAAATTCATATACATAAGATTCACCATTTTAAAGTGTACAATTCAGTGGTTTTTAGTATATTCACAAGGTTGTGCCACCATCACCTCTACCTAATTCCAGAACATTTCATCAGCCCAAGACAAATTCCCTACCTATTTGCAATCACTCCCCGATCCTCCTTCCCCACCAGACCCTGGCTACTACTAATCTAGTTTCTGTTTCTATGGATTTGCCTATTCTGGACATTCCATATAAATGGAATCATACACTATTGTGGCCTATTGTGTCTGACATCTTTCACTTTGCATAATGTTTACAAGACTCATCCATGTTGTAGCATGTATCAACACTTCATTCCTTTTTTATGGCTGAATAATATTCCATCATATAGATATACCATATTTTGTATATCCATCCATTGGTTGATGGACTCCCTCTCCATTTCTGGGCCCAGAGAACTCCTCAAAACATCAAAGATTTTCCACATAAGCAGCTGGCCTGGAATGTCAGGGTTTCTTTCCACAAGCCCAAGATTTAAATCCAAAATTGAGACTTTGCTCCAACCCTTTAAAGAGAGCTGTCAGTCACCACATTGCTCACCTTTCCCAGAGGTGGGTGCACATCGAAGAAAAAGGTGCGGTTGATATAATAGCTTCCCATTTTTCCAAAGTGAGTCTCATCCCAACTAAAGGAAAAACAGAAAGAGAAATGAGAATTTTTAAATTATCATACAGTCTGGGGTGGCTGGGTGGCTCAGTCCATTAAGCGTCTGCCTTCGGCGCACGTCATGATCCCAGGGTCCTGAGATCGAGCCCCACATCGGACTCCCTGCTAGAGTCTGCTTATTCCTCCCCCTCTGCCCTTTGCCCCGCTTGTGCTCTCTCTCTCTCATTGTCTCAAATAAATAAAGTCTTAAAAATATATAAATAATCATACAATCCAAATAGCCATAATAAAGCATGGTTAAAATTACAGTTAAAGCCAAAGACTATGGGGCACCTGGGTGGCTCGGTAGGTTAAGTGTCTGCCTTTAGCTCAGGTCATGATCTCAGAGTCCTGGGATCCAGCGCTGGGTCAGGGTCTGTGCTCAGTGGGGAGTTTGTTTCTCTGTCTCCCTCTGCCCCTCCCCCTGCTTGTGCTCTCTCTCAAATAAACAAATAAAATCATTATTTTAAAAAACCCAAAGACTATAAGTTTCAAGCAATTAATGAGAAAATTTGGATTAAAAAAATCATTGACAAATTGGGGCATCTGGCTGGCTCAGTTGGTAGATTATGCAACTCTTGATCCTGGGTCGTGAGGTTTGTTTGGTTTTTTTTAAGATTTTATTTATTTGTTTGAGAGAGAGAGCACACATGTGTGCACTCGAGCTGGGGGAGGGACAGAGGAAGAGGCAGAGGGAGAGAGAGAATCCTCAAGCAGACTCCCACTGAGCGTGGAACCCCACATGTGGCTCGATTTCATGACTCTGACATCACAAAACCAAGAGTCCCACGCTTGACCAACTGAGCCACCCAAGGCGCCATGAGTTTGAGCCTACACTGGGGGTAGAGTTTACTTAAAAAAAAAATTTTTTTTTTACACAAGTGATTTGAGGAAGCAAGACATCAGGCTGATTGTTTTTTATTTTATTTATTTATTTATTTTTAAAGCATGGGTTTTTTGTTTTTTTGTTTTTTGATTTTATTTACTTATTTATTTGACAGAGAGAGAGTGAGAGGGAAAGAGAGCACAAGCAGGGGGAGTGGCAGGGAGAGGGAGAAGCAGGCTCCCCGCTGAGCAAAGAGCCTGATGTGGGACTTGATCCCAGGACTGTGGGATCACGACCTGAGCTGAAGGCACCCAGGTGTCCCCATCAGGCTGATTGTTAACCTTCATTTAGATAGATGAGAAAGGTTAGCAAATATTTGCCAACCAGTTATAAATTTAAGTGAAATCTATACTTATTCTGTAGCTTGAGCTGCTATTTATTTTAAAAGAGCAGTTTTTCTATAATATAGAAAGGTTTGTAGTAAGAGTTCTCTTCCAAGTTTGTTACCTTCTGACCCTGAGACTACTTTTGCTACTAGAAAGTAGACTACTAATGCTATTATAAACTACACCATGGGCTACTGATCAGTAAGAGCCTACAAACTACAGTTGTCACAGGGGTCTAATTTTGCTCATCAACCTTGTGATAATTAA